TTCATCAAAATGAGCAACCTATCAAAGCAAACCAGTGTGAGATCCCAGGGATGACTTTCTATTTGAAAATGAAGCCTCTCTTAGGACTGCATTACCCTTTCAGAGGGGATTCAGGATTGGGAATTAGTTGTAAATTAGGACAATTATTAATACGTATCTGTAAAACAAAGTCTCATTTGGTCTGACAGAGCTCAACTGCAGCAAGCTGGGAAATAAATGAGCATGGGGACTGCGGCTCTGTCCCCGCCGTTTTTGTCTCTGGCTCTGAGAGCGGGGTGGCAGAGATGCTGCGGGCATTCTGGGATATTTAAAGCATCGTTATGTCTACTGCCCCGACAGAGGCTGTTAAACACTTAACCCTATCAGACAGGGCCGAGCTCACACGGACCGAACCTACACACGCACACAAGCTAAAAGCACTAATCGGGTCCAAACAGGTCAGGCTGGGCTAAATTACCCGGGATATTAAGCAGGGCTTTGGGTGTATCACATTGATGCTTTTTCCATTAGGGAAGGGGCAGCCAGGGCATATATGGATGGAGTTTGAGCCATTTTACGAGCTGAGGAGAAGCAGCGCTGAGGCAGCACAGCAGCACACTGTTCTCTGAGCCTTCTCTGGCAGCAAGACTTTGATCATAACATGAGTCCCACTGTGCATTGCAAGTTATCTCACGGGCCCCTGTGACACTTCCAGGGCTTCATTTACAGACCTGCTGGATCCAAGCTCAAAAGCTCCCCCCTAATCTTATCAGATTGAAGACAGAATATGTCATCTTGTATTGATATCATCATTTGGTTGAGGGGAAAAAAAAGGAGAACAGCTTGGACAATTAATCTGGAGATTTGTCTGAGGATGTGATTGAAAGGTTACACAATTAATGGGGACAGATTTGATGGATGTTATTGAAAGATTGTGGAATTAATGAGGACAGGAGCACACTGCTCTACTTCTCATAAAAAAGAGATGGACAGAATTTGGGTTCCAATGATTATTGTACTGTGAAGTGAAGTGCCAACAGGAGACAACTTGTCCTGGACAACTTGATTACAGGAAAGATTTACACTTGCCATGCCTGCTATTGACACCCCTCCTTGAGAACTTTGCTTGTTCAAGTTTGCAGGTTCAGCATGTTTAGTCTGCCGAGGGTATTGGCTTGGGATGGTGATCAAGCCCTAGTCCTGGGGGCATAGGCAGGTGGAGACCAGGTCCAAGATCATCTTCATCAATGCCCAAGGATTCTGGCAGTTGAGGATTATTCCATTTGGACTCTGCAAAGCCCCCACCCAACTTTGAGCACCTCATGGAGGTGGGGTTATCTGCCATCTGTGGAACCATGTAGCAGATTTTGAGGGGGTTCTGCACAACTTCAAGGACATCTGGGCTTCTATACACCTATTGATTTGACTCTGATTGTAGCAGGCAAGGTGCCAATATAACACTGAGCTCCATATCCATTGCTGTGACACCTGCAGGGACATTCACATTACCAGTGCTGCAGTATCTGGTGGGAGCAATTTCCTACCACAGTTGCCTGGAACTGCTATGCCCTGTTTGCAACAGACTGCTTCACTAAGTAACCCAAGGCATGTGCAATATCCAATTAAAGTGCCACCACCACTACTGAGAAAATGGTGGAGGAAATGGTTTGTGGGGACACTGAACAGTAGAACAGTAGACTTCACTAAATGTTCCCCTGATGTTTGGCTGGGAGCTGAAAACACTTGTTGACAATGGTGCTTCAAACCTTGCCAGAGCCTGAAGTGATTGACAAGATCAGCATGTAATACCTGCACTACTACAGGTGTGCCTCAGGGTGGTACACATGTAGTAGCAGTTATAGTTAGGATACAAGGCACAGACAGAATCTGATGCCCATCTGGTGTGGCAGAGCTCCCTGAAGACCAGGTATGGGTCCATAAGAAAGGCCTGTCACAAGGTGGTGGGGTGGGTGGGGGATGTGGTGTATCATACATACTTGACTATGCTTTTGACTTGCAGCAGGCTAGCAAGGGACAAGGACGACCAAAGCGCTGACCTGGCTGCCAGCCCAGTGGCTGCTGCTGACTTGGACTGGTGCCCACTGATAGGGTCATTTCTTGCTATAAGCAGTATATGCAGTTGTTAGGGCCCTGAGCAACAAGGGGTTATGGTTTTGTTGTTGTCATTTTTGGCAGGCTTCTTACTTGTAATAAACGTTTTTTGGTTGTTGTTGCTAGGTTACAGGTGAATTTGTCATTTGTCAATTTTAATAATAACTGGAGTTTAAAATAAAAAATAAATTAGATGGGAATGACTGCAGATGTCCATTGATGTGTACTTGGGGATCACTGGTCCACGTGCCCTTCACGTTAGCATGAATTTTTTTCAAATGTATGTGTTAAATTTAATACTTTGTGTAACCGTCCTTTATAAAGATAAAAGCTCTGAGACTTTAATACTTAATGAGGCTGGAGAACACATAGCCAGGCTTCTCAGACCCCACCACACAGAATCTCTCCAGATCCTTCAGATTCCAAGGTCCATGCTTTGGACTCTTCTCTTCAGCTCATCCCACAGGTTTTGTATGGGGTTCAGGTCAGAATACTGGGATGCCCCTGACAAAAACCTTGATTCTGTGGTCAGTGAACCATTTTTCTTTTTATTGTTAGGTGTGCTTTGGATCATTGTCCTGCTCGAAGATCCACCCATGGCCCAATTTATGGTTCCTGACTGAGACAGTCAGGTTTTGATTTTATTTCTGCTGGTACTTGATGGAGTCCAGGGCCTTTGGAAGAAAAACAGCCCCACATTATCACAGATTCACCAGCATACTTCACAGTGGGGAGGAGGTTCTTTTCGGCATGGCTACCTTTGTGTCTATAGCAAACCTACCTCTTGGTGTTTATTGCCAAAAAGGTCTATTTTAGCTTCATCTGACCATAGAACATAATCTCACTGAAAGTAATAACCTCTGGCTGTCTTCTGGGAACATTGTGGTCATGTAGGTGGCATCTGATTGTAGGTTGGAAGATGGTCTGACTTAAAGACCTAATGAACATCTGCAATTCTCCAACTGTGATCCTTGGAGATTCTTTGGCCTATTAAACCATCCTCCTCACTGTGTGTGGGGTCAATATAGACAAATGACCTCTTCCCGGCAGATTCCCAGGAACATCTTCAGGTGCTTCTTAATTGCTGGTAGTGAAAATTGGCATTTTTGACTGTTTAGATATTTTCCTGATTTGTGCAGCTTAACAAACTTTCACATCATTGCTGTATTCTCTGCTCTTTCTTCTAGTGATGGACGATTAAGGGAATTTGTCCCGTGTGTCACCTCATATTTATACCCCAGTGAAACAGCAAGTCATGGCTGACCACTTAAGTGCTCAAAACGCTCAGGTGAATGTTAAAACATAAGATATTGTAGCACGTTTGAGAAATGCTCTGCATGTTTATTTTGGGTATTCACATGTGTGCATTGGACAGATGACCGAATATTCCATTGTTTTTAATGCAGCCACAAGTGGCGACGTTCTACAGACTACAATCGTTTGTTGGTTGATCTGTCAAGAGTTGCCTGCAGCAGTGAAATAAACTGGATGTTGATCTTTTCAGGAGCCATGGATGCCAAACGTCTCATTGTTAACAAACAACAACAAAATCAAAATAGTACAGAGGGTCCTCCTGCCCTTGTCCCTCTTAAATAAACAATCTACACTAGCAAAGCTCTCTTCTGATAATCATCTGTTTTTGCTGGTAATGTGGCCATTGAGCTCTTGACAGGAAGTTCCACTCACCACTGCGGTCTGAGGGACGTTGCCACTGGCAGTGGCAAAATTTTCCATTGAAAACAACAGAATATCTGATTTGTCGTCATCCATCTACTGCAAACATGTAAACGCAACATCAGTCAGAGCTGCCCTAAAACCAAGAGGATAGTGGGCCACTGTTGGTCCTGCTGATGGCAAAGCTGGTGGTCAGTGTTTTCTGGGTGGCCCACCGGTGTTTAAGCAGAGCAATAGACAAAATTCCACTTATCATTGCTCGTTTTTTCACTCACGGTCTACTTTTCTTATTTTTCCTTCCTTCAGTTTAGTAAATAATTTTAATCCAGCACAGTGTCAGCATTAACATATTCTATAAAATCATTTTTATATCAGGTCCAGTCAATATTTTTATTCTCTCAGTTGTTGTAACAGTTTATTTTCTAAAATAAAAGTCTCCGTGCATAAAATCTGTTTGAGGAGATTAAAAACTAGGTAGAGCTGGTATGCAGGACAGTAATCTGGGTGGTCCGAGGGTGGACCAGAAGTGGCCAATGATAAGTGGGGTAGTGACCTTATCAAGACAGCGGACCAATATATGTTCGCTATCTGGGTGGAAGCAAGTGAGTGCAGATGTGAGCTGAGTGTAGATCGAGCTGTTAGCCAAAAGCCTTGCTATTGCATGCTACAGCCTGTTAATATAGCACAGTGACTTGTGCACCAGCTGTGCCTTCTTTAACAGCAGTAAAGGCTTCGATAGGAATGGGAATATTAAAGAATTCGCCAACAGTCATGTTAAAATATATATTTCATAATATATATATATATATTTTTTTCATTGCATGGCCATATTTTGAGTGAAAGATCAAAAGGATGAGCACTCCAGCCCCTGTTTATCAGAGGTGCTGATATCTCTGAAGGACCCTGTATGTATCTGTATATAATATGAGCGAAATGTGCTGATACATTAATAATAAGCGAGTGTTTAGACTCCTCCTCCTCCTCCTTCTCCTGTGGTCAGTCTCTCCCTGCCGCGCGCTCCAAGCGCACAGTCTGGGCGACGTCTGAGCACGAGCGAGTGTGTGTTTTCTGGTCTCCGCCCCCCTCCTCTCTCTCTCTCACTCTCTCTCCACGCCTCGCGCGCACTCACGCGGTTTACTCTCGTCGGATTGTGTCCACTCTCTCCATCTCCGTCATCCTGAGGTTCTCGTGAGGACTATCAGCGCCGACCGGACTCCGGTGCTCTGTGTGTTTGTATGGGATGCGCGCGCTCGGTCCCGGGCAGTGGCTGTGCAGCGATGGCTCGCGGCTTCTGCACGCGCTACACCATCGCTGCGCTGGTGCTGCTGTTGCTGCTGCTGCTGCCGGGTTCCACTACAGCGGCCAGAGGAGGTGAGTACGGAGCTGCGGGGACATCAGGAAAAGTTCATGCAGTGGCTGTAAACGGCGCGCGCGCGCACGCGTGAAGCTTTTGTGCACTTGGTTCATATGTGAGTTCTTATGAACGTGTGAGCATTTTATATATATATATATATATATATATATATATATATATATATATATATATATATAGAGAGAGAGAGAGAGAGAGAGAGAGAGAGAAAGAAAGAGAGAGAGAGAGAGAGAGAGTCCCGTGCAGGCATCGATTTCTCACAGCTGCGGTTTAGTCGTGCTCTAATGGAATGTGTGTGTGTGTGTGTGTGTGTGTGTATGTGAGCCGGGATGTACGGCCGAGCGCGCGGTGCAGATGCAACAGGCTGCGCGAGCGTTATTCTGCAGAAACGCCACGAAGCTTCATAACATCTGGCTTTAGCACGGACAGATAACATCTGGCAGTATCTAAGAGTCTCTCTCTCTTTCTCTCTCTCTCTAACTGTATCTCTCTCTTTCTTTAAATTCATTTCTCCCACTCCTTCTTTCTCGTACTTGCATCTCTGTTTTCATTCCTCTCTCTCTCTCTCTCTCTCTCTCTCTTTCTCTCTCTCTCTCTCTCTCTCTATATATATATATGTATGTGTGTGTGTGTGTGTATTCATTCCTTTCTACTTCTCTCTTTTTCTCTCTCTCTGTCTATCTATTGCTCTGTCTCTCTTAAACTGTATCTTTCTTTATATTCCTTTCTTCCACTTCATGTATCTCTTTGTGTCCGTGTCTCTCCTTCTCTCTATCTCCCTGTCTGTAATTGCATCGCTCTCTTTCTTTTCATTCCTTTCGACTTCTCTCTCTCTTTTTTTCTCTCTCTCTAACTGTCTCTATCTCTTTCTTTGTATTCCTTTCTTCCACCGTTCTTTCTCTTTCTGTATCTGTACCTCTCTCTCTCTCTCTTTCTCTGTCTGTATTTGCATGTCTCTCTCTTCAGCCCTTTCCCACACTTTCTCCCTCTCTCTATCTCTGCATCTCAATCCGCATCTCTCTTTCTTTTCATTCCTTTCCACTTCTCTCTCTTTCTGTCTGTCTCTCTATCATTCTTTATATTCCTATCTTCCACTTTATCTATCTCTTTGTATCTGTATCTCTCCCTTTCTCTCTCTCTCTCTCTCTGTATTTGTATGTCTCTCTTTTTTATCTCTCATATATATATATATATATATATTCTTATTCTATTCTTTATATTTAATTCTTCTCTCTATATATATGTATATCTCCCTCCTTTTCTTTTCATTCCTTTCTTTTTCTCTCTTTCTCTCTCTCTCTCTGATGTGTGACTGTTATCTCGTTTGAGCGACAGCGTATCTGCCGCTGTAGCAGGTCAGTGGTCAGTGTATTTGATCTGCTGTGTGTATTAAAATATCATGGAAAACTGCATTTTTACAATAAGAGAGTTTGATGTAGTAAATAAACACTGTTAAAGTTTCAAAGCATCCAGACCCTGCAGTTCAATCTGAACAGAGCTTGATTACATACTGCAGCCTTAAAGGGGAACTCCACCAAGTTTTAAAAAAAATTCTACATAATTAAATAGTTAAGACGTAAACAGAGTCGTTCAGAGTGGTTTGGTGTGAAACGCTCCGCTCTAGAGAAACTTACCGAGTCAGAACTGTTCACAGTGGTGGTGATAGGAACCAGACGTCCACCTCTAAAAGCTGCCTATTACATAAAATGGTTATGAATTCACTGATGTCTGAGAAATTGCTTTACGACAGTTTTGTGATTAAAGTTTAAGTTTAAAATGTATTTTAATGGTGGAGGGATACATGCAGGGCATTGTAATCTCTCTTTTTCTTTATCTCTCTCTTTCATGCAGTGCAAAAAATGATATTTTCCATTGTCATCATTCCATATAAACTCAAAAGACTCGTGTAGGTTCACTGGTAGTTTTGGATAGTAAATAAAATGTCAAATATTTGTATTGTAGTCATGGCGACCCCTGGTTCCCATCACCACCACTGTAAAGATATTTGAGCCATTTCACACTAAACTACTCTGAATAACTGTGTATGACTTTTATGACTGAATTATTCAGAAATGTAGAAAAATTGGTGGAATTCCCCTCAAAGGCACAGTAGGAAAAAGGAGCCTGTTTAAATTTAAGCCAGGGGTCGACAACATGCAGCTCTGGAGCCTCATGCGGCTCTTTTACTGTCCTGTTGTGGCTCCACAGCTGAATCAGATTTGTAGGTAAAAATAAAATAATCCTCCTTTACAGTAAAATAAAGCTCTGCTGATCGTTCAACACAGTTTAACAGTAAATGGACTTAAACTCTGGAGTTAATGTAGAACTGCTAATTCACCCTTTAACCCTGAAGATCAGCGCAGACTGCTGGTCACCATAGCAACGCTAACATAGTAGCTAATGAAAAGGCAAAGAGAGAGATTTAAGACGAACATTGATAATTTGGAGACTAATGGACTTATTTGTGTTTATAGTCACTCCAGCTGGTTTCCTGATACGTTTAATCTGCAACGAGAAACTGACAAACACTATAACGCCACAAAGCTGAAGTCAGTTTCTCATTTGAATTTTCCCGTTCCACCTTAAATGGTGCAGCAGTTACATTCTGGCGCCTCAGGCACCATTTAAGATGGAACGGAAGAATTCAAACAAGAAGCCGGTGAATGAGAAGCGACTTCAGTCTTGAGAGTTGAGAGACATTTTACAAGAAACTGTTCTACTTTTAGAAAAAGTTTCCTGCTGGAGATGCGAGAAAAGCAGCTATAGCTGAGCTAAAGCTTAAAGCAGAGCAAAGTAAGTCTGTGTTTTGGTTTATATTACATATTTTTTACCCTATATTAGCACATTAACACATACTGAGTCATATTTACAGCCAAGATGGTAAAATGGGCATAAAATGTTGTGGCTCCCAAGGTGGTTTGGTTTTTAATGAAAGGACAAAATGGCTCTTCTTAACATTTGGGTCGCTGACATCTGGCCTAAGGAGATAAAAAGAAGTTGGCAAATGGTCACGTGAGGTAAAATATGACTGTTTTTCATAAATAAACTCACACGAATGTCATCGTAAGTGGGCTTCAAGGGGGAAAATTAAATAAAAGAAAATACTGGCTTTAATTCCGGTGTTTATGCACCCAGTTCCATTAACTCTAATTTCATCTGGACTCGATATCTGAAGTCAGTTGCTCTGTAGGGCGTTTGCGGCCGGCCACAGAGCGGAAACGTCCTATTGTGTGGAGCTGTTGACCCTCTGGGACTGTTAAAGTGGAAAAATTCATGCAAATGCTGGAGGATGATGTGATATGTGGGAACATAATGGGTGATTTAGGATGAATCAGTTCACAGATGAATGAATAAGATCAGAGCCGCACGTCCAGTCTGAGATCTTTCTTCATCTTTCGCAGGTGTAATTGTCGCAACGTCCTCCGATTGTCCCCGCTGAGCTGACTTTGACCTTTTGACCCCCGCTTAACTTAACCGGTCCCTCACAGTGAGTTATTTGCAAGTCGATGAGCAGATTAGCCTCGAGGATTTGATTCCCCGTTCTTTCTGTGAAGTATGGAAATCAGTTTGAACTTGCCTGCCGTCCATAATTAACGAGTAATATTCATCCATGATGTTCAGAGGACGTCACGTGAGATATGTCAGCGATTCTTGGGAAGGCCGCCCTCGCCGGACCTTTGAGAGAGCGTTCGTTTGCAGATAGAATGGGTATTAAACTGTCCAATCGTCGGCAGGCTTCTCTGAAGTCATGATTAGCTTTGGATGTTATTTTAAGCACTTTTGTATTATGTATTTATGGTGGTGCACATCATAATAGCGCTAGGCCTTCATTTCAGGACTTAAAGGTCTAAAACCCAGTAAAAATTAAAGGAAGTGAAACCCATGTCTGTAATAAAGCTAATCTCTGCTCTAATTTCCATTTTGGAGTTTTGAGCAGATTCGAGTTTTCTGAAAATTTCTTTTGAGGATGTTGAGTACATTCAAATTTTCTGAACATTCCTTTTGGGAATTTTGAGCATGTTGGAATTTTCTGAACATTCTATTATAGAATGCTGTGAAAAATGTAATTTTCTGAACATTCCATTTGGGATTGTTGAGGAGATTCGAATTTTTCTAAAAATTACTTTTTAGATTGTTGTGGAAAATTGAATTTTTTGAACATTCCATTTTGGAGTTTTGAGCAGATTCGAATTTTCTGAAAATTCCTTTTTAGGATGTTGAGGACATTCGAATTTTCTGAACATTCCATTTCAGAAATTTTTGAACACTGGAATTTTCTAAGAATTCCATTTTAGAATGTTGAATCCATTCGAATTTTCTCAACATTCAATTTTGGAATGTTGAGTAGATTCGAATTTTTGAACATTCCATTTTAGAATGTTGTGGAAAATCAAATTTTCTGAACATTCCATTTTGGAATGTTAAGTAGATTGTAATTTTCTGAACATTTCTTTTTAGAACGTTGTGGAAAATCAAACTGTCTGGACATTCCATTTTGGAGTTTTGAGCAGATTCAAATTTTATGAACATTCCATTTTAGAATGTTGGGGAAAATCAAATTTTCTCCTATGGGGTTTCTAATGGTATGTTAGTGCTAAGCTAATGCAGGCATCAGTTTTAGATTAACAAAGGCATTTGAAGCTTGTAGAAGACATTTCACATGTTTTATCTGAAGCGTAAAACATTTTACCTTGTAGCAGTTTTACAATGAATCTTTCAGTAGAGTCCTGCTGCTGCTGTTTTCCATTCCTAACAACTACCTGGAACTTGCTTAGACTTTTATTTACAGTCATTGAAATATCTAGAAGGCCTTCAGTTCAGCTCGCTTGGCTTTATCTGCCTAGATACCAGGGGAAAAACATCCTGACTGGATAGTCGTAACAGTTTTACAACAGTACAACAAGTACTAAATACAACACTGATTCTATTGAATGCAAATAAACTACACATTTATAGTATGTATTTATAGTATATCCCAGAAATCATTAGGTCTTCTCTG